GGGCGCCATGCGGTACACCGCGGACAGTGCCTCCTGTGAGGTGCTGGAGGGACACATCAGCCGGTGTGCTGGGTGTGATTGCGCTGCCGAGTGCGGATGGCCCAGCTGCCTGTCCTGATCTCGTGGTCAGACGACAAGACGATCCGGGTGTGGCATGTTGCGGACGACGGGACGGGCGCCATGCGGTACACCGTGGACAGTGCCTCCTGTGAGGTGCTGAAGGGCCACACCAACGATGTGCGGGGTGTGATTGCGCTGCCGAGTGCGGATGGCCAGCTGCCTGTCCTGGTCTCGTGGTCGTGGGACGACACGATCAGGGTGTGGCATGCTGCGGACGACGGGACGGGCGCCATGCGGTACACCGTGGACAGTGCCTCCTGTGAGGTGCTGGAGGGCCACACCAAGTATGTGAAGGGTGTGATTGCGCTGACATGTGCGGATGGCCAGCTGCCCGTCCTGGTCTCGTGGTCGTGGGACAACACGATCCGGGTGTGGCATGCTGCGGACGACGGGACGGGCGCCATGCGGTACACCGCGGAAAGTGCCTCCTGCGAGGTGCTGAAGGGCCACACCAGCCTTGTGCGGGGTGTGATTGCGCTGCCGAGTGCGGATGGCCAGCTGCCTATCCTGGTCTCGTGGTCGAGAGACAGGACGATCCGGGTGTGGCATGCTGCGGACGACGGGACAGGCGCCATGCGGTACACCGCGGACGGTGCCTCCTGTGAGGTGCTGGAGGGCCACACTGACGGTGTGCTGGGTGTGATTGCGCTGCCGAGTGCGGATGGCCAGCTGCCTGTCCTGATCTCGTGGTCAGACGACAAGACGATCCGGGTGTGGCATGTTGCGGACGACGGGACGGGCGCCATGCGGTACACCGCGGACAGGACCTTCTGTGAGGTGCTGGAGGGACACATCAGCCGTGTGCTGGGTGTGATTGCGCTGCCGAGTGCGGATGGCCAGCTGCCGGTCCTGGTCTCGTGGTCGGAAGACAAGACGATCCGGGTGTGGCATCCTGTGGACGACGGGACGGGCGCCATGCGGTACACCGCAGACAGTGCCTCCTGTGAGGTGCTGGAGGGCCACACCAACCATGCGGAGGGTGTGATTGCGCTGCCGAGTGCGGATGGCCAGCTGCCCGTCCTGGTCTCCCGCCCATACTCCGGCGAGACGTTCGAGTGGCACTCCTCCCCACCGGCTACACCCTCCACGCCCGCCACCTCTCCTCCTTCTGGCTCCACGCCCGCCGCTTCACCTCCACCCACCCACGCAACAACTCCATCCGCATCACCATTGCCAACCACATCGGCCTCTCCATCCCCCACCCCTCCGACCCCAACCGCCTCCTCACCGTATTCTCCAACCGCCCCCCATCATCCTCCGCCGCCACCCATAACACCACCGCCTTTACTCCCCCGAGCACCACGCCCGCATCCTCGCCGCCGCCAGCATATCCGCAGCCTCCTGCGCCATGGGCCTCACCAGCGGATCGACCGACCAGCACCGCCGGATGAGCCCACAGACAGCGGCGTCCGAATCACCCGCCCTCGCACTAGCAGCGTTGCTGGTGAGGACCTGACGGCCGCCCCCCCATGGCATTGCTGCCATCAAACGCCGGCGCCCGCATGAGCATCTCGTAGAGGAGCGTGCCAAAGGTGAACATGTCGCCCTCAAACCCTCATCGGCTCCGCGCAGCTGCTCCGGCGCCATGCACGCCACCGATGGCACCACCGCCGTCGTCCCCCGGTTGCTCTTGATGACCATTCGTCCGCTTTTGTGGTCCACCACCACGTCGTGCCCGCCACCCGTGATCGAGTGGACCTCGGCGAGCGCACGCGCCAGCGCCAGCTCGATGCTCAGCGCCCACACGCGGTCGAGGCCCGAGCCCGAGCTCAGCTAACAGCGGCGTCCGAGCCCGGCCAGCCCGCTTCTGCTCCCGCTGCAACGACCGATCGTGCGGCCGCCCACGAGAAAGGCCTCGGCAGGGAGCTCCTCCAGCGACCCACAGTCGATGCGCGCGAAGATTACATGTGGCAGCAAGACCTTGGCCATCACCCGCGTGTACCCGCTGAGCGCCATCGGCCCGCCAGCCTCCAACACTGCCTCCATCTCGCGCCGCGAGGCGACGAGGCCGCCCCCGCGACAATCGCGCAGTAGCAAGCTCACTGAGGGTAGCCGCCAGACTCGTCTGCTCACCGTTGTACGGGCCGTAGGCAACAGCCATGTGACGACGACATAGACGACGCGGCGGGTGTAGAGGTCGCGGACTCGTCGTCAACCTCATCCGGCCGCTCGCCATCGATGAAGGTCTCGTCGATGCCGCCGCTGACAGCAACGCTGCCGGCGTTCACAGCAAGGCCGTTGTTGGAGCATCCGGTCCACTGATCGGCCGGCAGAACCACAGTCGCGAGGGCTGATGCAGCTAAGCAGCTCATCGACATCGGCAGTGCACCCACACATCCCTCGGCCGGTGCGAGTTGGTGCTTGGACTCATTGCCGCCACGAACATCGGGCAGATGGACAACTTCTCCGATATCTCTGCCACCACGGGGCTGCTTCCTGTGGTTTGCTACGCAGCGGCCTCGTCCCCATCCGTGTAGCACCTGCCAGCATCGTACCGCAGAATCGATAGCATAGCCTCGTTGATTTCGAGCTAGAGAGCCATCTCCCGGATTGCCGCCACTGCTACGAGTCGCCTGCACTCATGTCGATCCGACCGCCAAAGACAACTATGCCATCACCAAGGCCTCGCGTGCTGTGGCCACGTTGACATTGCCCGCCGCCTCCTCGCTGTCGATCGTGCCATTCCACCCACCACGACCACGCCGCCATCCGCATCGCCACGCGCAGCGGCCACTCTTCATGTCATCGCCCTCTTGCAACCAACACGCTGTTCCCTCCCAAGAGCATCCAAGCATACAGCAGCAAAAACTCTAACATCGCCGACAATGCGCCTCGCCCTCCTCATTCAGACCTCGCCATCATCCATCAAATTGTACAGCCCCATCGGGTCGGTCACCCCCGCCCACCCCCGCGCCCCCCCCCTCCCCCTTTCGCGCACGCGCCCACCCGTCCACCCGCCCGCTCCCGACTCACTTCACCATGGTAGTCTCCACAGTTGCCTGGTACCTTCTGTACTTTCTCGCGGCCTACGTGGTCTGGCACGTCCTCATCTGGCCCTGCCTCGTCCTCGTCATCTCACCCATGCGCGCTCTGCCTGGCCCCACACCGCTACCCGTTGTGGGCACTCTGTACAGGCTGAAGAAAAAGACCAATGGCCAGTCGAACATCCTTGATCTCGTCAGAGATTGGGTTGCTCGTGATTCACGCATGTACTGTGTGTGGAATGGCCCGCGTCCCGCCGTCGTCCTTTGCCATCCCGACACTATGTCAGTCGTCCTCCGCTCGTCCGTCTCCGTCTCTAAAGGCGCCGTCTACGACACCATCCGCCCATGGCTCGGCAACGGGCTACTGGTGGCAAGAGGTGCCGCCTGGCATGCGCGCCGCAAGCTCCTCACCCATGCCTTTCATTTTTCCATTCTCAAGCAATCGCACGACGTCGTTGCCCGCAATGCCGCCATCCTCATCGGCAAGCTCGCAGACGCCCGATCTGGTGAGCCTGCCGCCTACCTCGACCTCGCCCCGTTCATCTCGCGCTGCACTCTCGACATCATCTGCGAGGCCGCCATGAACGAAAAGGTCAACGTGCAGGACGCTGCCGACTCGCCCTATCTTGCTGCTGTCCACGAGGCCTCTACCCTCATGTTCCAGCGCATCCTTTCGCCGTGGTACGCCCCGGGCTTCCTCAACGGTCTCCTCTACAAGTTCTCCAAGCTCAAGGTGCAGACCGATGCCGTCCTCGGCACGCTCCATACCTTCACCAACTCGGTCATCGCTTCTCGCAAGGCGATGCTCGCCGCCCATCCGCTCTCGCCCGATGATGCGCACGTCTTCCTCGATCTTCTCCTCGCCGTCCGCGATGAGGACGGCGCCGGCCTCACCGACCGCGAGATTCGTGAAGAGGTTGATACCTTTATGTTTGAGGGCCACGACACCACATCAGCCTCCATTGCCTGGACACTGCATCTTCTCAGTCTCCACCGCGAGTGGGCCGATGCTGTGTTCAACGAGCTGGCTGCCGCGCCGTCGTTTGCCACCCATACCGCGACGGGGACGGCCACTCCCTGGATCCCGAGCGAGCGCGAGCTGGGCAGCTTCCGGGCCCTGCACAACGTCATCTGCGAGTCGCACCGCCTCTACCCGCCTGTTCCGTTTGTCTCCAGGCAGACGGCTGAGGACCACGTCGTGGACGGCTTTCGCATCCCCTCCGGCTCCAACGTCTCGCTCAACATCTATGCTCTGCATCACAACCCGACCGTCTGGCCCGATCCGGAGCGGTTTGACCCGTCCCGGTTTGAGAGTCCGCTCTCATCGCCATTTGCACACATCCCGTTCTCGGCCGGCTCGCGCAACTGCATTGGACGCAAGTTTGCTGAGCGTGAGGTGACCACTCTGGTCGCCGCTGTCGTTGCTGCCTACCACCTCGCCGCCGACCCGCACCACGACCCCTACCCGCGCCCTGATCTTATTCTTCGCCCGGCCAACGGTCTCCGCGTCAAACTCACCCCGCGCTGATCTCGCTGCCTGCTCGTCACGGCAGCTGCAGCATGTACAACCCGGTGTACGTGTCGAGCAACGCGTAGCCTCGCTCAAAGTCGGTCGCAGATGGGAGCATGCCGCCCAAACGGAGGAAAAACTGCTGATAGCCCACAAAGCTGAACGGCCAGCCGACTGTCGCCGCAAGCTCGCCACTGTCGAGGTCGCAGGCAAAGATCATCGGTGAGTCTTGTGCCTGGATCCACCCGCGCGAAGCCGTGAAGAGCGCGTCGACGTTGAGGTTGGCCTGCGACGGCGCAAACCACTTCCAACTCGGCAAGTTGACGCCCACTGCTCCGGGCCGGACCTCGTACGCCGCAATGCTGGAGCCTTGGCGGGAAACGGCAGCGTCAATGCCCGACGTCATCGTGTGGAACCGAGGAATCTGCCCGCCGCCGACCGAGCCGACCGAGTAGGCTTCGGCGCCTGCCACGCAGTCGCCGCTCTGAAGGCACGCCATCGTCCTCGCGCCAGCCAAGCTAAACAGATACGGGCCCTTGGCTCCATCGGTGTAGCCAAAGTAACCGGTCCGCACAAAGACCTGTGCGCCTGTCGCCACGTTAAAGATGTGCATAGCCGACGAGAGCCGCGACGACGCATGGATGTAAACAAAGCCAAGCGAGTCAAAGACGGCGTTGGAGACGCCAGTTCCGATCTCGCCGCGGTCGACGTCGGTGAGCGAGGTGTTGAACTCGCGAACAACCTTGGCAGTGGCCGCGTCGATGACGGCTGCGCGGTCACCGACAAAGACCGCCACAACGCCAAGCTCACCGTCCCAGCCCAGCGAGACTAAAGCGGCGTCCTGAGCTTCACGTACAGTAAACGGCGTCCGGACATGCTCTTTCACCGCAAGTGTGCCGAGCTCGATGCGGCGGGCCTCGACGTAGCCGGCCTCATCGTCGGCGAGGACATAGAACTCGGTGGCATCGCGGTAGACATTGCTGTTGTCGACGTACACCCGGACACCGTCAAGCGACTGCTCTCCCATCAGCACTACTCCGTCGGTCGTCGGCATGTACGCCCGCAGTGTCTCCTTCTCCTCCACCACAAACACATCGCCTGATGCGCCCTTGCCCACAAACGACGGCGTGATCGCATACTTGCCGCTCGCGCTCGTCACATTCCAGCGGAATGGCTGTGACTTGCCCGACGCATACGTCGCAAGCGGCACTGTGGTTGCGGTCACCTCGTACCTGCACGAGGTTGCTGATGTGGCCCAGCATGTGACGGAAATGACGAACGTGTCCGGCTGCGTCACAGGCACGCTGAGCGTGTTGGTCCCATCCGATGCCTTGGCGAGCGTCTGCTTCACATCGTACGCCGGCGATGCCACTGTCGTTGAGAGCGAGACGTCACTCGACGACGGCACAACCGAGACCACTAGCGACGCAAACGGGTCGGTGACATCAAACGCGTACTCTTGCCCGGTCCCGCTCTCCTGGCTCGCAGCGTGTGCCGTGCCGTTGACAAGGTGCAGCGGCTCGTCGGCGAGCCAGACTTCCGGTTTGGCTAGTGCGGAGCCGGGCTCGAGATCGAGCTTAATCACCTGCGTCTTGCCGTAGTAGTGGTACGGCGGCGTGATGAACCACGCGGTCGTGCCATCATCGGCCATCACAGCCAGCTCGGGATGGCCGGCCGGCTTTTCGAGGCCGGCCACGGTCAGTCCACGCGCGCTTACCAGCTTTCCCGAGTTGTCGTAGTCAGAGACGACGACAACGCCTTGCGTAGCATCGACGTGGTTTGCGGCGAGGCCCACAGTCGTCACACCGCCATGGAGCCGTGGGATCATGGCCGGGAACGCCTCGCCCGATACGCCCTCGGGGTAGAGCGCGCCCGATGCCGCAACGACGGCAAAGCTTGCTGTCGCGTCGACTGTGAGCGAGCAGAGGCGCCGGTCGTCGCCCACGTGGTACGCGATGTGGAGGAGTATGAGGCTGTCGGAGATGATGTGGTTGGCGGTGAGAACAAGGGTAAGATCGTCAGCGCTGACGCCTTTGGCAAGCGCCGCCGCCACGCCCGGACACTGGCTGCCATCGAGCTCGACCTCGATCATCTCGCACGGCAGCGGCGTGTTGGGATCGATGACCCCGCATTTGGCCGGGAGCGCGTACTTGAACGAGGTCTTGACTCCAGTCTGAGGATAAGTCCATGGCAGCGAGTAGAAGATGGCGCTGGTAGCGGATGGGCCGAGGCCGGCCACCGAGCGGGTGTCCTTGGGCGAGCCGTAGGCCCGAAAGTGTGCGCCGTCGGCGAGCGGCTTGGCATCTGGCGAGTAGACGACAGCGTAGTTGAACGTGGTGGTCGAGTCCGGATACGCCGATGCTGTCATTCCCATCTGCAGGACCTGTCGGCCCCCTGCCAGCGGGCCGGCGTATGATGGTGAGAGATTGGCGTGCTCGTCGACGAGCACGGGGCGGCCGGCCGAGATGGTGGTGGCGTCAAAGACCAGAGCGCCGTACTTGTCGCAGTCGACGAACCACAGCGGGACCGAAGCGTCAGCGGTCGCCGCCACAAACGCTGCGTTCTTCATGTATGCAACCTGGGGAACAGTTCTTGCCGCCTCGGCCAGTGCCGAGTTGTTGACCACGGTGATCAGCTCGAGCGAGCCGGCATCAATGACGGCAATGCCGCCAATCATGGCAATGTGGATCTCGGGCCGCCCACGTCTGGGCTTGCCCACATACCCCGCTGTGTACACCATCGTCGACTGTTGATATCCCGCCGGCAGAGCAAGCATCACGCTCGTCTGTGTCCCGTTGGTCACCGGCACCGGCGACGACACGTCTGAAAAACCCTGGCCAACTCCAATGCCCGACAAAAGTGGCTCTCCTTGACGACCGCCGGCAGTACACGCAGAGCCTGCAAACGCCGCCGCAAACACGACCACGACCACGAACACCAGACGAGCTGATGTGGCATACGACAGCATATGGAAATTCGCTATGTGGTTGGGCAAAGGTGAACGAGAGGTGGGCTCGCCAACGCAGAAGTCTTGCGCAGTCAGGCACCTGACGACAAGTTAGCTTGCGTATGCAGGTCGCGCCGGTCGGCGTGCGTGAGCGTGCACACGGTCGATGGACCACCAGCAAGCGGGAGCAATGATCAATCTCGCCGGAGTATGGCACAGAGACGGGCGTCACTCGATTTTGATGTTGACTCGACCGAGTTGACACGGTGCACGGCCTGGCTGACTTTGGCTTTTGCAGAGACTGATCACCCACCGCTGGCCGATCGACCCATGACAGCCTCGGCAACAGCGTGGATGAACAACAACCAGCTTGATTCAGCCCCGAGTCCGGCCCCTTCTAGCACCGATCCCGTCCCGCCCATCCTCTCCCGTCGATCCCGTCCCTCCCATCCCCTCCCGTCGATCTGATCTCGTCCCTCCCATCCCGCCCCACCAATCCCTCTCCGCCGACCCCGCCGTACCCATCCCCCCCCTCTCCCACCCACCCGCCACCGCCAATCGGCCAATCCCGCATCGGTCAGTCGCGACACGGCCAATGCGAGCGCGACACGACTCAAACAGAGGCCTCTGCACTCTGACGGGCACCTCCACTCACGGCGCACGTGACTCCAAGGCGAGACGACCATGTTCACAGGGAGCCTACGACGGATGCTGAGCAGTAGCGCAGGAGTACTTGCTGGAAGTGGGGCGAGACAGGGCGCGGCGGCGCCGCTTGTGGTCTTCTCAAAGTCGGCCAAGGCGGCTCAGAGGGAGCGGACGGGCGGATGCGGCGAGTTTGGTGCCTCTCATGCGGTGGATGCTGACTTTCTCAAGCGGGAGCTTGCGGCTGTCATTGATGATCGCATGGATGATGTTCTGAGGGACTTCCCCACCGTGCTGGACCTTGGATCGGCTGGTGGGGCGCTCTCGCTCCGCCTCGCCGCCCGCAAGGACGTCAATCAGGTCATTGCTGCAGACTCGGCTCAGGCGCTGATGGGCAGAGATCTGATGCTGGCGCTCGGTCGGGAGCTTCCGAAGGATAGCTCGGATCGACTCTCGTTCATCAACTCGCTGCATCCGCGCATTGAGCACGTGGTCCTGCCTGAGGCCGAGGACGCCATCGCGTCAACGCTGGGTCGCCACGCACCGTTTGATGCGGTAGTCTCGAACCTTGCACTGCACTGGATGAACGACTTGCCGGGCGTGCTGAGCCAGATCCTGCACTTGCTCAAGCCTGACGGTCTGTTCTTGGGCACGATGTACGGCGGCGAGACGCTGCGGGAGCTGCGCATTGCGCTGCAGCTTGCGGAGACCGAGCGCGACGGCGGCATCTCGCCGCATGTCTCGCCGCTCGCCGAGTCGCATGCCGTCGGCAACCTGCTGACGGCCGCCGGCTACTCGCTCGTCATGGTTGACGTCGACACGGTGACTGTTCACTACGCCGACGCGTTCAAGCTCATGGACGACCTGCAGCTGATGGGCGAGAACAACGCGGTGCTCTCGTCGCGCGGGTACGTGTCCAAGGACGTGCTGATGGCGGCGGCGGCGATTTACAACGAGCTGTTCTATGACGCCGAGGCTGGCGGCGTCCGCGCCACCTTTGACGTCCTCAATCTGGTCGGGTGGCGGCCGGACGCGTCGCAGCCGCAGCCGCTGGCGCGCGGCTCGGCAACAGCTTCGCTCAAGGATCTGGGACAGGGCAGCTCGTAAGGGCCGCGGGTGAGCGCCGTGTGCGCTCGCTCGCTCAGCCGACGAGCGAGTCGAGAAGCAGGAGGGTGCCAGCAAAGAGGATGCCGAGGACGGCGTCGACGACGATGTTGCCAGTAAAGCCAAAGATGACGAACCGGGCGCGGTGGGTGGTCGAGTGGATGGCAACGAGCAGCCGCTCGACAGAGTCGGACGGTAGCGCCATTTCGTACTTGAGAAGGACGTCGCGGAGGCCGCGACAAGCGCGCGACATGCGCGAGACGACGTGGAAAAAGTAGAACTGCAGCGCGCACGCGAGGACAAGGAGCCAGAGCGCAAAGGGGATCATCTCGGAAGAGATGAACGAGTCCGAGTTGGTGATGGACCAGAAGATGAGGAAGATGCCCGAGACCGAGAGGACGGTCGTTGCGGTGTAGCCTGCGCGCCAGTGTGCAATGTGCTCGTCGATTTTCTCGAGCAGAGTGATGTGCATGGTGAGCGCGTCGTTGACCGACCGCCGGTGGCCCTCGATGGTCGACGCGTACCGCTCGATGATGATGCGCATCAACGCCCACGTCATCGAGAACGAGCCGGCAAAGACAATGGGAATGGCGAGGACCCAGATGGAGACGATGAAGAACGGGACGGCGGCCATGCCGAGGATGGCCAGCGGCGACCGATTGGCCACCCGCTCGAGCGGGTTGGAGGCAAAGAACATGACGCTCATGATGACCGCCGCCACCGGCACGGCCACCGCCATCCCGGCCAAGTGCCGGCGGACCACCCGCTCGGCCTGGCGCGAGTACCGCGGGCCGTACAGCACAACCTCGTCGAAGAGCTTCGCCAGATGGCCAGCCCGCGCGTACCACACCATGTGGATGTACACGAGCGGCGGAATGGCAAAGATGGAAAAGGCGCCCAGAAACGCCCCACCCGACCAGCGGACGTACGCCACCGTGCCGAGGACAGGCATGGCAAGGAGTACAAATATCATGCCGTATGTCACCATCGAGCATGTGCACCGCACGCCCCAAGGTCCCGGTCGCCCGAGCGTCAACGCGCACGCCAGCCACCGCAGCGACCGCTGTCCGCCGCAGCACCGCCTGTGCTGGACCACTCCAGACTCGAGAAAACCCGACTCTTTCCGCTGCACAACCGTCTCACCCACCTGCACCCGCGAGCTCGGCCGTCTCCTGCTCTGAATGCCTGTGATCTGCGAGCCTCCCGCCCCATCATCCGGCATGATGAGTGAATAAAAATTTGCAGCACCCTCACCCCCACCCCCCACCCATCACCCATCCTGGCAGCCGAACAGCACCCTCTCGCCCTCCTGCCCCGCACACAGCACGTACCAGGAACGCTTCACCGCGTCCGCGCGAATGCGCACTTTCTGAGCCGCTCCTAAACGAGCGCTCGTTGTCTTCGTACGACGAGGTGTACAGGCCGCCGCCACCAGTGCCCATGGAGTCCTCTATGTCGTCCAGCTCGGCCATGGCCGTGGTGGGGTGCGGAGTCGAGCTGAGTCGTGTGGGCGAAGCCAAAGCCACCCGACGGTCTCGAGCTATCTGCCAACCGCTGCAGCCAACCTGCTCAGCGCATCCGATGACGGAACAAGAAGATGATGGAGAAGGGTCGGCATAAGCCGATCTGGCTGGCTCTGATCATTGCCACCGAACGACGAATCATTGTTCTCCAACGATAACCAATGACTACAACGATGACCAACGATTACCGACAATCACCAACGATTACCAACGATAACCACAATCATCAATCACCAACGATAACCACAACCAACAATCACCAACGATAACCAACGGTAACCACAATCATCAATCACCAACAATCACCAACGATAACCACAATCATCAATCACCAACAATCACCAACGATAACCACAATCATCAATCACCATCGATAACCAACGATGACCACAATCATCAATAACCAACGATAACCACAATCATCAATCACCAACAATCACCAACGATGACCACAATCATCGATAACCAACGATGACCACAATCATCAATAACCAACGATAACCACAATCATCAATCACCAACAATCACCAACGATGACCACAATCATCAATAACCAACGATGACCACAATCATCAATAACCAACGATAACCACAATCATCAATCACCAACGATAACCACAACCAACAATCACCAACGATAACCAACGATAACCACAATCATCAATCACCAACGATAACCACAACCAACCGCTTCCCGCCCTCCTCCACACACACACGCAGACACACACCTCACACACCTCGCACACCACACACCCCTCCACCTCCCACACAGGATGATGGCATCAGACATGCGACGGAGACAGCATTGGGCAAGTCGATTCATCCATGGAGACGCCCGACCCACACTCGACGACGTCGAGTACACGTACAATGAGGACGTTCTGCTCGTCCGTGAGCTCGACTGCTCGGGAGGCGATGGTGGCCCGACGAGGCAATCATGGCCAGCCTTTGTCAACGACTACGTCGAGCATCACAAGGAGTTCCCTCATCTATATCCGCGCACACTTCCGCTTCCCTTTCACGTTACTCGCCGTCTCATCGAGCTCAAACTGCCGGCGCCTGGCAAGCCTCCGTCGGCGAGGTACAGGCTCATCAAGAAGGATCTCGAACTGACTCGCAGCGCACTTGGCATTTCGCCCAGAGGCAGCAACGGCGAGACTGGCTCGAGCAGGGCTGCAGGCGACGGCTTGATCTCCGGGAGTGATGACGACGATGGCGACGGCGGCGACGGCGGTCGGGGTCGAGGCAGCGGCGGGAGCGGCGGCGATCCGCAGAACGTGGCTCGGGTCCAAATCGGGCTTGCCTGCCGCGGCCGGCCGCTAAAACGATGCTGGTGAAGCGGCAGTCTCTGGCAGACGCATCGCCGGTCATCGCCGACGTGGTCGACGGCTTTGTGCCGAGCCCGGAGATGCATGTGCCGCAACTGCAGTTCTCGGACCGCGGCGTCGTGTATGATGACGCCGACTCTTTTGACATGTTTGCGCCGCAGACCTTTGCACGGTTTGTGCTGTGGGCGGAAAACCCGCGGATTCTGAAGGAGGAGAAGGCGCTGACGAGCGAGCTGGAAGACATTGCCGCCGAGTTTAACGGCCTCAAGAGCGATCTGCGGTCTGAGCATGAGGCCGCGCGCGACTTTCGTCGCGCAGAGATCCTCAAGCTGCGGGCTCGCGAAGAGAAGCGTGTCCGAGCGGTGATGGACGCCCAGTTTGAGGCCGATGTCCGGGCGCTGCGTGTCCAGCACGAGGCGCACGTTCGTCTCGAGCTCTCCAAGCTGACCTTCAAGTACGAGGCCGTGCTCGCCGAAATCGACGCCTTTCACGAGGCGCAGCGCGAGCAGTGCCTCAAGGTTGCTGACGAGCTCGCGCACGCCCAGTTTGCCAAGCTCGAGAAGCGAGTCGACGAGGTCCGGTCGGCAACCGACCGCATCTTTGACCCGTCGAGCCTGCTCCCGCTCACCCTCCTCGCCGAACATCTCCGCGCCGAAGAGCTCAAGCTCGACTGCGTCACAGTGATGGCGGCCAACTGGCGCAAGTATGCACACGCGCCCGAGCTCGCCTCGCCGCACCTCCGCGACGACACCCGATGCAAGATCCTGGCCGCGCTGGAAGACGACGCGCTACTGGGCACGCTTGCGGTCGCCGACGTCGACGACGCCTGGAACTCGGTGCCTGGCCTTGCGCATCACCATCGCGACGTGGTGACGGGCGCGGGCCGGGCAATTGCGGTTGCCAAACGGTACACCAAGCGGACCACTCTCGACGTGGCACTCCTGCTCCGCGAGTTCAAGTACCGCGTGCTCCGGATCGCGCAAGAGCTTGCAAGCATTCCGCTGCTCAAGCTCAAGAAGATTCAGGCCGAGGCCGCGGGCTCGCGGACCGCCAACGAGTACGGCCCGTGGCTGGAGCTCATCGGCCACGAGCTGGAGAAGCGACAGCGCTCAAACCCGACCTTGACCCTCAAGCGCGGCGTCTGCTCTGCCGCCGCGCACGTGAACGGCCTGGTGGCCAAGCCGCGCCAGCCGCTGCTGTACGTGCTTGTGCACGCCGCGACTGCGCCACGGACCGAGTCCCAGTACGGCGCGTGCTACTTTGAGGCCACAGTCCTCGCCGCGCCGCACGACCCGGCGCTGGGCACGGTGGCGCTCGGCCTCGACGTGCCGCGGTCAGTGGTGGAGGATGTGGTGCCAGGCATCACGCCCGAGCCGACGTTTGTGGCGCTCAACAACGAGCACGTCGCCGCCGGCGAAGACGCACTCGCGTCAGAGCCGTACGGCTTTGTCTGGCAGTCGGACGGTTACATCCACGCCGGCGGAACGTCGCACTTTGTGGGCGTTGGCTTCCGCGAGGCCGACGTCATCGGCGTCGGCCTCGACCAAGGTGAGCGACAGATCCACTTTTACAAGAACGGCGAGTCGCTCTTCTCGCTCCTGGCCGACGATTCAGTCCTCCCGCGGCTCAGGATCGAGACTGCGGGGTACTCGCTGGTGCCGGCTGTCTCGTTCTACGCGGCGCTCGATCCGGACGCGGTCGAGGTCGAGTTCAACTTTGCCGGCCCGTTTGACGCCGAGCTCCCTGCCCACTTTGGCCCGATGTCGTCCGGCGCGTCGACGCTGTGAGGCGTCACAGACTGCTGCCGCTGCCAAAGACGTCGTCGAGCGCGCCGGTTACGAGCGACGGCGAGGCGGTCGAGAACATGGTCGTTGGATACACCGCGGTGCCCCATTCGGGGTGTGACAGCATGGTGCACGGTCCAGAGATGACCGTCGGGTAGCGGAGGAGTGTCAGCGTGTGCGTCACGTCCGCATACGTCGACGGCCCGGGCTGCGATCGCTGTGGAATGCCCGACGCGGGGTCGGTAAAGTCAAAGACGTACGGCGGCGCGCCTGCAGCTCGCGCTCTGGCGGCCAGCGCGGCCTCGACAGCCTCTGCTAGCGCCACAAAGTTCTCCAGCAGCACATCCTTCTCGCCGGCCGCAATGGCTGACCAATCAGCAAGATCGGCTGCGGCATATTGAGAGATCGGCACCACAACGGCGTTAGTTTCGGCCACAGCAGCCCGACCGTGGCATGGCTTCACCCACTCTGGGAACACGCTCACCAGCGACATGGTCATCGCTCTCGGCATGCGATGAACAGAGAACTCGCACTCGATGCCGCCAAACACACCGCGCCGCGGTCCTGCCAGACACCACTTGCGCCCGGCGACGAGGACTCTTCCACCAGCATCAGCCCCCGCCTCCGCACCCTCAATCGCCTCCCCAATCGCCAGCCCGTCGCCAGCCACCGCTTCCCCAGCCTCCCCGGCAGTCTCCACATGCACAGCCATGACACAAGACAAAGTCCCACACACACACACACACACACACACACACGCGAAACGCTTCACAGAGCCCACGCACAACTCTCTATGAGAGCGGCGTGAGCAAATAGCCCGACTCTGGCAATCTCTGTCCTCATCGATGTGGTGGAGCCGGCTGACGTGGCGGGATCACTGGGCCAGCCGGGCCGGACCGGGGGCCGGCCGGCGATGGCTGCGGGGCCAGGTTGTGGAGCGGTCTTTACACATCGGCCAACAACGGGTTGTCGTACTTTTGTCGCGAGCGGCGTTGATGATATCAAGGTGGTCTGGGTTGAGCGCATCGAGCATGAGGGCCGGGAGGCCCGCGTTGGGGTTGCGCGTCTTGGCCTCCATCCGCGCGAGCTGGGCCACGGCAGCTTCGGCGGCGGCCGACGATGCGCCCGACGCTGCTACGGTGGCCGCGAGCTCCGGGTCGCCTGACAAAACCTGCTTGGCGAGACTGGACTCGGTTATGGCGAGCCCCTCGCGGAGCGTGCCGGCCCAATCAACAATCGATTCGTCGATGGTGTCGCTCATGCCCTGAACCGCCGAGAGCCGCGCGTCGCGTGAGGTCGCCGGCGCAGTCCGCTGCGTCTCGAGCGAGACCGAGGTCGAGACGACCGACCGGATGACGCAGTCGAGGCTGCGCTCCTGCAAGACTGCGAGGCCGCGGAGCTGCTCGAGCACCGTCTCCATCTCGCTGAGGCGAACCTTTTCGTCCTGGGTGATGAGCCACGCCCGGCGGAGCTTGGGTGAGTCCTTGATGTTGGCCTTGACCAGCGCGTCGCCGCGCGCGTTCCAGCTCTCCATCTTGCGCTGCAAGCTTGCAACCTCAGTTCGAGCCTTGCCGGCCCGAGTCTGGGCGCTGCAGGCCTCACTCACCGCCGCGTAAGCCTCGCGGAGAGCCCTGGTCACAGCCCCGGCCTCGTCGCGAAAGCCGTCGAGCGCCGCCGCGCGGCTTGCCGACGCCGCCTGCAGCTCGCATGCAAGCTGCTCCTCGTCCTCAAGCGCCTGCACCGCCGCACGCGCGGCCTTGGTCGCCTTGCCCGCGTCGCGACTCTTGCGTGACCGCTCACCATGCGCGGCAACAACAGCGGCCTCGTTGGCGAGCGCCGTCTTGAGCGCCGCCTGCGCGTCGGCGAGCGCGCTCGCGCGGCTGCGCGCCGCATTGTCGGCAATGGCGGCAAGGAGCTCCGCCTGTCGGGCCCGGGCCGCGGCGAGGTCGGCATCAAGCGTCGGCGACGGCGCAGTCGAGACCAAGTCGAGCTGCTGCCGCTCGCCGCCGCCCTTCTCTCTCCCGCGCTTCCGCCCGGCGACGTTCCGCCCGCGCCGGGCCTCGCGCTCTGCGCGCTTGGCCTCGCGTGCCGCCGCCCAAGCCGCCGCCTCGGCCGCCGCTGCTGCTGCCGCCGCCGCCGCCGGATCCTCATCCTCCCCGTCCGACTCGGACTCGGTCGCCGGCCACACTCCCGCCGGATCCGCTGCCGCCTCGGACGACTCGGTCTCGGTCTCGTCCTCAGTCGAGTCTGACGACGACGATGACTCCGCCGACTTGCTCTCGTCGGCCTCGTCGGCCTTGTCACGGTAGCTCTTGCTCAACAGCGACCCCGAGCGACGATGCGGCGAGCGCGAGCGCGACCGACGGATGACAACGCGGATGACGTCTGGCGAGCGGCGACGGACAAACGGCCGCGCCTTTCCGCCACCGTAGAACGTGCCCTCTGCCCCGAGCTCGTCCAGCAGCTCCTCATCGAGCGCGGCATCGTACGAGTCTTCGTCCCAAAACTCATCCGAGTACTCTCCGCCGTAACCGTCTCGTCCACCACGCCCATGGTAGCCGTCGTAGCCGTCGTAGCCACCGTCGTAGCCACCGTCATAGCCACCGTCATAGCCATAACCATCATCATCGACATGACCATGATGCGGATGACGAGAATGACGATGGCGATCAGCAGCCGGACTCTGACGACTCTTCCTCGCCTCTGCCCGTGTCGACCTCAGCACTGCTGCCGACAACGGCAACGGCTTTGCCTCTGCATGACCTCCTGCCGCATTCCGTTCCTGCCACAATGACTTTGTCCGACCAACCACTCTATGCTTTTCCACCGCACCATTTCCGCCGCCTTGTCCACCACTGCCACCGCCGCCACCACCACCACCACCTCTGCCATCGCCTTCCCTGCCGGCACTGCCTTGCCTCACACCTCCTCGTCCACGAGGCCCACTACGGGCATTCCGTCCACGTCCTCCGCCTGCCATGACCCAAGTCGAGTATAAGAGAGGAAGGGGAGGGTGAGAGGGTGAGAGGGGTGCGTGACGTGGTGCTGCCCGTACCCCTGCCCGTCTCCTCCCTTCCCTGCTCCGTCCCCGTGTCTGTCTCTGTCGGCCGTTCGTTGGTTCGTCGGCCGCCAACGGCAAAATGGTGAGATAATCAATGGTCTTGTTGAATTAATGGTTACCCCTCCCCCCTCGCTCTGCCCGCCCGCCCTCCCTTCAACCCTCAATTAATTAATGTTCATTAATCGTAAACCACCCCCCTCCCCACATCTCCCGCGAGAACAACCACCAAAAACGCCAGGGATGCCGCGATCGATCGCAGAACATACACTCATGGCAACATATCCCTGCCTCCCCCCCCTGGCCTCTCCCGACCTCCCCCCTGACCTCGCCCTCATCCCCCCCCTCCCCCCTCCCCCCCCCTTCCCCTCATCCCCTCATCCACAAGAAGAACCCAACCAGCCCAGCTCAAAGCAACATGACTAACCCTCTCACACAGCCATCTAAGCCACAATTGCCCCACATCACCGCTCTTCCTCCCCCCCTCCAGGACACAGCCACTGACGGCTACAACCAGCACCACCACCACCCCACCCCACCCCACCCCACTCTCACTCACCCTACTCATCCCCCACTCCACTCTCTACACACCACGCTCTCTACACACGCTACACCATGAAGCTCGTCAAGTACGCCCCCGCCCCCCCCCC